TCATAGCCCATGAGGGTCTACATTTTAATAATAGTCCCACTCAAAAAAGTTTTTAGCACCTCAGGAGGTTCCCTCGTAAGCTATGCTGTCGTTAAATCAGACTGTTGTGACCTATAGTTCTCTTGAAAGAATACCGAGCACTAAACAAAACGGCTCATTTTCGAAGGTGAGTTTTCATAAAGAGAAATATTACTTACCGAGAATTACAACAATACACCTCTTGTATCCAATATTTAGCCAGGATATGCTACTTTTTTCGCCATTTTTCGATGCAGCTTATAGAGAATTAGACGTTTTGCAAGATCTATATTGCCAAATTATCCAGAGTTTTACTTACGTTCAAAATCTGGGTTTTAATTAGAAAAGGATTTGAGAAGAAACCGAAAACTGTTCAATAAAAAATGTTTTTGGGTATGAACACTTAATTAGAAAACATTCTGAATGAGCCTTTTTGTTCTGTTTTGCATGCTCTTTCCACAAAATACAGCTTAAGACAGACCGAGCTAATTTTTCAGGCAAAAGCGAAAGAGACTAAAGATGAAGCTGTTTTTCGAAAACTCATATCACGTATATTTTTTGGGTAGCGCTATTGCCACCTTTAGAGGTGTCAGCAAGGAGCTATTGCCATTTCCAGAAGATGTCACTGACGGTGACACCTCTGAAGGTGCCAATAGCCATTCCGATATTTTTTATCTTTACAAAATTCATTGGATTATTTAAATACGAATATCGCACAAATAGTTAATAAGATATAATTTTTAATACACTTTTATTTGTACACTTATTATTTTCAACAGCTAAACGTTTCGATGTTTACCGATCTCTTAATCAGTAGCATACCAATTTTTAGAAAAAATTTGACAATGAAATTAGAATAACGCAGATCTGTAGTTCGATGTTAAATCCACATTTTTCAAGTTTTTCTAAAAATTGTTATGCGGTTGATGAAGACGTTCGTAAATGTCGAAACATTTAGCTGTTGAAAATAATAATTGTACGAATAAAAGTATATTAAAAATTATATTTTATTAACATATGTTTCAGAGATCATTTTCTCAACAACCACTTAATATTAAGTTCTCAAAACTTTTTCATTACCACAGTTATGGACGTAGAATCGGATAGATACATTTCTAGAAAAAAACTTTTTTAGGCATTTAGTCACTATTCACGACACAATCACAAATCCTCTCTTTTGAACTTCCTTGGAAGGCACTTTTCGTTAAAAATCTCAGAAAGCTCTTATTAATACCAAAGAGATGTTAAAAAATCGGATGATGTGTAACAATTTTGTTGACTAAAGAACAGGGGGATGATATTCTAGCTCCTTATTCCTCCTTTTTTAAAGCACATCTCGGAACTTCTGTTCTCTCTTGCAGAAAAGAATCATCAGAACTTACCTTCAATTCTACCAGATGCTCAATCGTTTCTCTGTTTACAGGTAAATCAACATTGTTACCAGCACTTTTGATTGCTGAGGGTTATGATAAAGTTATCGTAACTCAACCACGTCGTTTACCATGTACATCCATTTGTGAACGTGTTAATCAAACAATGACCACCACGAAAGATGAATTCAAACTAGCTGGTTGGGCTGTAAGTGGTGCTGAACGTGACGTTAAAGCTCGTATTTTATATTTGACTGATGGTTTACTTAAAGAACGTTTATTATATGACGAAAATTTAATTACCAATCAAACTAAATTTGAGAAATCTGTTGTATTTTTTATTGATGAAGTCCACGAACGTTCAGTTAATATTGATCTTTGTTTAGCATTGATAGCACGCTTGTTAACACAAAAACCTGAATTAAGACCAAAAATGAAAGTTATTATATCATCCGCTACACTTGATTCATCTGTACCAATCCTTTATCGTCAAATTCCTCAATTAAAATTTGATGAATTTACAATGCCAATGATGGGTACTCTACATCAAGTCACAAAGTATGAGAGACCAAAGGAAAATATTGTAGATTTGGTACAAGAACTGTATAAAAAGCGTCAACGGCATGATCAGATACTGTGTTTTGTTAATTCAGTTTCTGATGTACATCAATGTTGTCGTGTACTACAAGAAATTAGTCATGGTACAATTATTGCTTATCCTCTTGTTCAATCACAAACAGCTAGTGATCAACAACTAAATATTGAACATGGTTCAGTTTTCTTTTCAACTACCGTCGCTGAAACTTCCTTGACATTTCCATCTTTGAAATATGTGATAGATACGGGTATGATTAACATCCCCATTTACGATTTAAAAACAAAACAAACTGTTTTAAAAGAAATTCATGCAGCTGAATCAACAATCAAACAACGTCTGGGACGTTTAGGCCGTACAAAACCCGGTGAATATTACTCATTGTATGATTTTAAAGTAGGTGATAAAAAATATCCAACACCACAAATATGTCAATCAGATTTAATTAATATTGAATTTACTCTGAGAAAATCCCCAATGAAAAATGGATTGAATTATATGAAGAAATTTTTGCCGAATGCACCAGATCCACAAGCAATTCAGTTGGCGATTGAAGAGCTGAGAAAATTACGTATGTATATTAATATTTAAGTGATACTCCTTATCTTGATGGACTAAAAGCGCTTTGTAGATCAACGTTCTCTTTGTATTTAATTGAGAAGCCCTGAAAATCATCTCCTTATATTTTCTGATTCTTGCAGTCAATCAACTGTTAGAAACAATGGTGGTTTCATGTTATTCATCTTTCTACTTATTTTGAGTAAACTAGGCTTAGTTTCAGTTATTTTACTTTTTTTGTTTTTCAAAGATATCTTAACACCTCAAGATCAATTTACATCCGTTGGTGTTTCAATCGCCAAACTTCCTGATTTTGGCTCATTAGCCATGTCAAAATCTATTTTATCTGCTTTAACACAAAACAATTGTGGTCAAGATTTGATTATTCTATCATCGATATTAAGTGTTTTGAATACATCCTCGCTGTTAAAAGCATTACCGAATCAAATGAAATCATCAGATGGTGATTTTATGACTCTATTAAAAGTAATGAGTGAAATTTTACTTGTTAAACGAAGTGTACCAGCATACCAATTTAATTTAGAAAAAATATGTCATGCAAAAGGCTTAGTTGGTATTCAACATATTCTAAAACAAGCTTTACGGCGTTATGTAAGTTTAGAAAAATCCTTCAATTTATCAGATGATTATCGTCAAAAAGCACAACGCTCTAGTGCTGGTGAGTGGGAACTAATAGCTCGTTCGTTGTTAAACGGGTATTCAGAAAACGTTTTTGTCTCAATGAAAGAATTACAAGGCAAAACACACCAGTTTACTCGTTATCAATCATCAGCGGCACGAGAAGATTTTGCTGTTTTGGATCTTCAATCCACATTAACACGATCTATCAGTTCAGCTCCTGTTTCCGTTATACTTGCACGTGATATACGTTATTCCTCGTCAGTCCGTGCAACAGCCGTTTTATCATTTGTTGGTGAAATTAAATCAGAATGGATTGATCGCCCAATGGAACGAATAATAAAACTGAATACAGCTGAAGAAACAAAATTAAATTCGGATAGTATTTTATCAAATGCAAAACAAACATTTACAAATTTACAAATTTCTTTGAATAATAATCATGAACTCATTCTCAAAGGTCCATCTGGATCAGTCTTAGAAGCCGAACTTGATATCATACAGCAATTAGTTGTTCCAATGAAATTTAATCTCACAAATGATTTTAACCCAACATCTTCCGAGTATAAAAGTATGAAACGAAACTTAGAAAGTGTTATGAAAATGCCCAGAATATTTAATCCAATGAAATGGCGATGGGAAGCACAACAACAAGTTAAAATAACAATAAATACAACAAATGGTGTTTGTGAAATAACAATTGAAGGTCGTGACTCACGAAATCAATTAGCACAAAAAGAATTTCAATCCTTTTTACGTTGGTTAAAAACTTGTGCCGTTATAAGACATCCAAATTCGGGTAAGTCGTTTTCTATTGGAGACACCAATTAGTCTCTCTCGAAGTCAGTGTAAGAAATCCAGAATATGCGCTAATGCCCCATTTTTTTCTTAATTTTTCCAGTTAGATGGTGACCTGTGCTTCTTGGTACACTGTCCTTTTTGGACTAAAGATAAATGCGCTTATCTGTTCTGTTTCATCTTATCTCTTTCTGTTTTAGGTGTATCACCGCGTATACTGAAACCGGAAATGCGGAAAACATGTCTTGCCATTGAAGAAAAAATATCACATGTAACTGATAGTAAACGAACATCAATTGATCTGTGGAATGGATTAAAAGGCTCCAAAGCCACACGTGAAACACGTATGGAAGTTGTCGCCTGGATTGCTGTTTGTCAATTTGATTGCCGTGTTGAAGGAGGTTTCGTTCGTGATTGGATTGTTGGTAATTATACTCAACGACCAACTGGAAATGCCCCTCCATCAACATGGATCTCATACAATGTAAATCCGGCGAATGTACCCATACCATATATGAGTAAAGAGCTGATCCCATCAGATTTAGATTGTCATTTACCAACACATGCGTACTTTGATATCGATAAATTTTTAGATTATTTACATAAATATCAAATTGACTGTAAAGTTTTTCGGGAAGATTGGAGATATGTTTTATTGTTAGATGAAAATGCAAAAACAGGTCCATTTACAATGGATTTAATTGAACCACATGTTGCATTAACACATGATCGAATTGATTTTGATGTTAGTAATCTATCACTAGAAAAAGATTATACAAAAGAATTAGGGATGAGAGTTGATATCCAACAAAAACCATATTCAATTGAATTAGAAACAATTGTTGATAATATAAAAAATAAACGTTTTAAAGTGTTGAGACCCATTGATGATATTGTACAACTACGTATAACAAAAATGGTTCAGACACGTGGTTGGACACAATTAGGGGAACCAATGCATGTTATTCCCGATCCACCACCAAAATATCAAGTTGTACTAGTACCACTGCCACAATCAACAGCTCTTTATCAATTAATTGTACAACAAATGAAAACTATTGGAAATCAGGTGAAAGTTCTTTCAATTGAACAAATTAAAAATCCACTATTGGAAGATGCCTATCTGGCAAATAAGAAGTTGATAGCAAAACAATGTACAGGACAAAATCCAAATGAACGTGAATTATTTCATGGAACTAAAGGTGATGCAATTGATGGTATTCTAGAAAATGGCTTTGATGATCGATATTGGGGAACAAATTATTCTAAAGGAAACTGGGGTATGTTAGAAAATAGGAAGAATCTATTCGATCGAATCACTTTCATTTCTCTTCTTTTTTCCCTCATAGGTCATGGTGCCTATTTTGCTGACAATCCAGTTGTTTCACATAATTATACATCACCTGATCCTACAGATCAAACACGTATTATGTATTATAACAAAGTATCATTAGGTAATGAACACATATTACAGGAAATAAATCAAGAATTAAATTCAGCACCAAAAGGTTATCATTCAACACATGGTAAATACCCGGGAAATCCAATGTCAGATGAATATATTGTTTATCGTTATGGACAAGCACTGCCATATTTAAAAATAACATATAAAGGATAGAGAAATCGAATAGCTAAAAACTTTTCGAGCTTCTCAATTAGATCATTTTCTATTCTGTTATTTATTCGTCAAATTCCAGATATTAAATAAACCATATTTGAAATGACTTATATCTGGACTACATGAAGTTCAAAAACATAGATACAGACTAACCTTGATGATAAAAGCACACACTCACAGCTTACGAGGAAGTCTAGGTAGATGTATTCCTCTGATTTCGTTCATTCATACGTTCGATAGAGGGTATCGAGGTTGTAAAAAGCTAAAATGGATTCGGGCCAATGGCTTTTCCTCCAAAAATTATGAGTATTTTCTGCTGTTCCCAGTGAAAAAGAAAAAAAAAATAGAAAAATTCATATCTCCGTCGAGAAAAGTAGTTAAGACTCAAATTCTTTTTATGGCTCGTATATATATCTGTGATATTCATACTAAGTTTCATCTCTATAATTCATTCAATTCCCAAGTTATTGACTTTTAAGGTTTCAATAGATTAGCTCTTTCATAGGCTTACAGTATCGTTAGTTTTACACTAGAACTGTTGAAACTTTCATAAATGACATGGTTCTGATCGGCACACACAGAAAAGTGATCGAAATTATATAACTTCAATATTTCGTAACTCCGGTTTTCAGGGAGTCTCTGGAAACCGGAGTTACGAAAAACTCCCTGACAGGGAGGTCTGTGAAGACCTCAGCATCTATAATCAGCCTGAGAAATCCTTTTTGCCGCCATGAGCGAAATTAGACTACAAAACCATATCATTTATAAAAGTTTCAACAGTACTAGTGGAAACCTAACTATTTTAGAAGCCATTATATTGTAAGCCTATGAAAGGGCTAATCTACTGAAAGCCTAAAATTCAATAACTTGGGAATGGAATGAGTTGTAGAGCTGAAACTTAGTATGAATATCACAGATATATAGGAGAACCATAGAAAGAAAGTTGAGCTCTCAGCTACTTTTCTCGACAGAGATATGAATTTTTCTATTTTTACTACTTTCGCTGATAGAAACAGAAAATGCCTATACCTTTTGAAGGAAAAGCCATCGGTTCGAATCCTTTTTCGCTTTTTACAACCTCGATATATAAGCTTTATTTGATAATATGATGTGGAGTATAAAAAAAAATGAAACAACAGAACAAGGAGAAAGAGGCGAACCCATTATATCCTTTTGTTTTGTTGATGTTACATTGCACAAAAAAAAGAAAAACGAAAAGAGGGAAAAGGTGCATCTGAAAGCGAAGACACGAACTATGAAGAAAAGTAAGTGCATGAGAGGCTGATGATATGTCTCAGCAAACAGAACTGAGATAAGTAGTACTCGGAAACGTTGGGTAGTTTTGATATACTGTATGATTATTTTATGTAGCTGGGTAATTGTGAGGTCAGCAATGTTTTCTAGTTTTACTGATATGTGTTTAAGTGTGAAGGATAACCCAGGTGCTATATTATGTCAGTCATTTTTGAACTTAGATCGCATATGGCGATAGTGTGAACATTCCAGGAGAAAGTGTTTGGCTGTTTCTACTTTGCCACATGCACAATACTGATTATTTAATAAGTGCCTAATATGCACATCAAAATTCAATCGAGAGAATTCAACATGCATTTGATTAAAAAGCATTTCATGCTTTCGGTCAACGTGTTTGAATCGTGGCCATTTGTAATGTGGGTGCAGAAAATCATGTATCTTTGAACGAAAGCGAGCTAATTTAACAGTTTGATACAATTCAACAGGTAACTCATTCCACTGCCTAACTACCTAAGGGAAGAATGTGGTTTTGAATTTTTCTGTCCGAGTATGAAAAATGTGAAGTTGACCTTTAACCCGAGACCTCAGTATCATAGCCACAGCCGGATAATTTGGTATCCTTTGAAAAAAGAACGATGGTGTGAGCCCTCTTTTTATTTTAAATAATACTAAAATTTTATTCATAGCATATAAAGTTTCAATAGGAGTCCATCCAAGAATTCTCAATACTTGTTTGTCTTGACCTCAAGCATAGCACCGCTAACAATTAAAACAGCTTTATACTGTATATCATATATCGGTTTGAGATAGAGCGGAACGTGCTGAATAACGCTTGTTGTTCGATGTAAATCCTTCAAGCAAACATAAACTGTGTCCGAATAGGTTATTAGTGGCATAGCGTAAGATTTAAAAATTTGATCGAGAGTGGATGTACTCAAAATATGTTTGTTTCTTCGCATTACGTAGAGAATGTAGTTACACTTTTTGCATATTTCTTCTTCCAATCAAGAAGTTTTGTTAGATACACTCCCAGATGTTTTTGATTGTCAATAAACTTTAAAGTAAAAGGACCAAGAAGTAAATGCGGCATAACTTTTTCTTTGCCAAACAGCATAGCCACGCGTTTTCTCGGATTTAAAGGTAATTGCCAAAAGTCAGACCACCGCTGCACTCTCATCAAGTCGGCATTGATTATGTTTGAGGCAGAAATCATGTCATTAGAGTGGTGATATAGCGAAGTATTATTTGCAAATAGTCTTATTTGAGATTGCACGTTTAAAACTATGTCATCTACAAACAGAAGAAACAAATGAGGCCCCACAACGGATCCTTGGGAAACTCCCCTGTTTATTCTCAAAGCTGTAGATCTTTGTCCATTCACAAGTGTTACACACTGCCTATTCGTCAAGTAGCTTGAAAATCACTTTAATAAGGCATCTGACATTCCCTTTTTCTGTAACTTATAGAGTAATACAGGTGTCCTCTATCGATTGACGTATGAACGAACGAAATCGCAGGTATACATCTCTATAGGTTTCCGCGTTACAACGAGAAAGCTAACAGTTATTTCACATTCTGATTTATCACTAAAAAAAGGTAGGCACAATTAAGAGCAAATATTATCGAACTTTATTCATATTACAAACGCTGTAGCGTCTGAAGTTACAGGGAAAAAAAGTTTAATAGTCGCAAATTATTCTGTACAGCTCAAAATTATAAAGCTTAGCACAAAAGAGAAAAACTTAAAATACAAAATCATGCGATTTTTGAGCGATTTTCGCAAATTTTTTGTAGGGCTCCTCGTAAAAATTTCATAAATGCGTGCACAACGCTTCCAAGACTTGAAATTTGGATTTCTGCGCCATTTTCATCGGAGAATCGAATGAACATGATCGGAGATAAAACTAATTTCCCATCGGATAAACCATTCTCCTACGCATGCTCAATTTTTGTGCGGACCCTCTCTTAAGATCTAACAAAAGCGTTATATTTCTACAAACATGGAAAAGAAGAGAACTTGTACAAGTTAAAGGTTTTCTTGAGAACTTTCTTTCAGAGGCCATCAAACGACGTTATCAGAAGTCGAAATTTGTTCTAAACACAGTTTATTTAATCCAACAAAGTGGGCGGGCCCATTACATGTTCAGAACAGTCGAGAAAGACGAGTTGTTTATCACACATAAATACTAAAAACATACACTAACGTACAATAGTAGATGGACGAAACATGTGAAATAGAAAGAGTGTATAGAATAGAATAGCATAAATTTTCTCTTACATAGGATAATACAAATATGAAATGAATATAATTGTGAAAAACATGAAGGTGTGTACACAGTTTGATATATTTGACAAACACTAAGTCTGATGCAAAAGGGGTTACGTCTGTAGGGATCTCGTATTCATCTTCGCGGTACAGAAGTTACAACATATGACGGGCGAAAACGATTTCTAGTATTAATATAATATTGAATCGACTTAAAATTATTTTTATTTTGTCCTTATCTAATTTCAGCACAGATTTATCACGCAGAAAAATGTGATTGAAATTCATACTTTTGGTATCAAAAACTTCTTTAAAAACATTAATAACTAACTACTATCCATCTCAAGACAGAATTTCTTGTTTTCTGAATACTTTTTTTTACGGGTTAACAGATAAGGATGTGCTCGACAAAATGCGAGTCAAATTATGATTTCTAGCCGTTACGACCTAATATTAAAAAGTTCACTATTCATTCAAAAGACAATGTTCTAACGCACTTAGAGAATCTAATTAAAAAGAGTATGCTCAGATGTAGAGTAGCATGGCGTAATTAGAACAGTACTTTTTAAAGCTTCGTATCTTCGTTCGCTCTCAGTTAGCTTAAGAAATTTGTTGGGTTCCCTGGCAAGAGTTGTAGAGGAGGTATTTTTCTGTCGAATGGTCGTTCTTGTTTTTCTAAATTCCGTTTCCTTCACGATCAAGAGCAGATCTGCGACTGACTGGTCTCGACTGTTCTAATTCCCAGCATGTGGGGAATTAGAACAGTCCGTAGAACATACACGAGATGTTTTGATAAAAGTAATTTGATTTTTATATTTGTATTTTAAATTATTTTCGCTCACATCCTCAGTATGATATGTAGAGGATATTCAACTCTATCGCCTGATATGGATTAGATCGCAAACGGATAATATTTGACGGAGCTAGCTCTGTTCAAAAAGCGACTGGTAAAGTTTTTTTTGTGTTCGAACTACCCGCATGTGGGGAATTACAACAATCAAGATCAGTCAATCGCAGATCTGCTCCTGCTCCTGAAGGAACTGGAATTTAGAAAAACAAGAACGGCCATTCGACAGAAAAATACCTCCTCTACAACTCTTGCCAAGGAACCCAACAAATTTCTAATCTAACTGAGAAAGAACGGAAATACTGGAATTTAAAAAATTACTGTTCTAATTATCCTGCTCTACTCTGCAGATATTTTTTCAAAAATGGTTGCATCGAGACTGAGACTTGTTTTTTGAGACTGAAAAATGTCTTTAACGCGTCTAGACACGCTCATTCAGTGCTGTTCGAGAAACGAAAGATAATTTAGACGCGTCTCAATTTTATTCAGTATTTTGAACGCATTTACGAGGGAAGGCGACCAACTGTCCCATCGCTTTTCGCCTAAAACTTAGTGGACAATAGGTAATCGAGTGTGCTGAATTCAAATATCACAATGGTTTTTCCTCAAAGATCTCTGAAGATCCCGATTTTT